GTAATTCTTTGCCTTATAATAAGATTCTTGTAGGAATGGATTAAAAAGATTCCCCTTTAAGGAAAGGTCATAAACTAGAATCTAAGCGTCCTATAAAAAGAATAAAGAGTGCGGCCGGCATGGCTCAGTGGTTGAGTGTCAGCCTCTGAACCAGGAGGTTCACGGTTCAATTCCCTGTCAGGGCACATGCCCAGGTTGCAGGCTTCATCCCTGGTGTGGGGGCATGCAGGAGGCAGCCGATCAATGACTCTCTCATCATTGATGTTTTATTTCTCTCTCTCTCTTTCCCTTCCTCTCTGAAATCAATAAAAAATGTTAAAAAAAGAATAAAGATAAGTCATCATTTTATCTGTTATATTGTTAGCATATCTTATAAGTTATATAAATTTTTTTTGTGGTGCTGTCTTCAGAACATTCTAATTTTCTAGTACCGGCATTTTTAAGTGGTTTTCATTTGTGTAAGATAATAAAATAATGTCTCCAAAGCACTTCATCCAGGCTCCTTCCATCTCTTGGGTATTGTTGCTTTTTAATGCTAGCTATTCAAGTTTACACACAAAGTTAGCAAACCTGCTACAGTCTCTCCCCCCACCCCCACGTTGACTGCTCTGAAAACGGTCAGAACAGGATTATAATGTACAGATCTTTCTCTGAATATTTCCTTATGTTAGATCAGTTCCTTCTGAGTTCTGTGCTTGCCAATGCTAAATTTCCTGCCAGGGCAGTAGTCTATTTTTAACATTTTGGGGGCTTAGTCTTCGTTCCAAATCTAACAGGCAGATTCTGTTGAGTGAAAGAGAGAAAGCAGGCTGGGTGCATTTACAAATTGGAATCATCAGGATTTGCAATTTCTGTAGAATCAAAGAATTGAAGGAGAAAGACCAATTAGAATACTTAAAAGATCATTTGTCATCACTTTAATCTTCATGTATTTTTTACTCATCATTTTCTTTGACTAAAATTATTAGAATCTTTGTCATGTTCATCTCAAGGCCAAATGGGAGCAGTAATGTTCATTTTATATTTTCAGTATTTGGAGCATTGTAACATGTCATGCTAGATTATAGGTGGTAGATGACTGTTTTAACAGAGGAAGTTTTAGTCTGTGTCATATTCAGCATCATATTATCTCAGTGTCATGTCTCTGAATTTAATTCCATGTTTCGTATACATAAATGAAGACTGAGGGATTTATTTCTGTTATTGAATAGCATTTGTTTAATTCAGAGATTAATATATCATCTTCAACCCTGAAACAGAGGCCCTCTGAAACATCAGACCCAAAAAATTGGACACGGCCTATTAGCCAAAAGAACATGTTGCCAATTATCTCCATGTTTATTTAAATATTTAGCTTTAAAGGAAGCAATCATTCCTTTATACTTCTTTGAATTTAGTATTGACATTTTTATTTTGGGAAAGGAGGTCTTTTTCTTTTTTTCTTTTTTTAACATGGATACAGGAAAAGAAAACTCTCCAATAAAAATATTGTCTAAAAAGTTTGTTTTGTCTGCATGATTTACTAAATATGTACAATTTCAATTCACAGCGAAGGTAACAAAGATTTAAACAGCCAACATCACAAATGTCTCAAGTTCTAAAAAAAAATCACTGTGCACAGTTTAACAATTTAATTGAATAAAAACCAAAGCTAAGCCTTCAGTCGGAGTCTTTTTTATGATGGGCACAAGCCACGTATTTTCTTCCTCTTTGTTACACGATGCATATTTCAGTGACTAAACGCCCCTTCCCATTTTAGTATATTAGGTTATGTCAGTACATACTTAAGGGAGGCCATAAATTGCCTCTTGGTACACCTATATGATTTGTGATGTGTTCACATATATGTCATATTTATTAATATATAAAATGATCAGATGAGTCACTTGTGATTTTTTTATGTCTTCAAATGTAGGAATGTTTAGTTGCATGTATAAAACATCTTTAATTGATGGGAGTGGTATTTAAAGTGATAATAACTTGACCAGAGTCCCATTGACGTAAGATGTCTAGAAAGAACTAGTCTGCACTTGAAATATAGGTATTTCATATCTCTACCCCATTCAGGTTTGCAAAGTTCATAATTATATGAATCCAAATGCTGTGGTCATTCTGATATAATGATCAAGTGAATAAGTCAATTAATCATTAGAAACAAACGTCATTGAATTCAGAATAGTTCAGTTACAGTTAAGAAGGGAGCCATCACTTTGGCAAACCCTATAAAATCTACAATAAGGTTGTTTTCATATATATGTTTTCCCACGTAAATTCTTTGGTGTTGTTCCCCCTCCTTCTTATTAATGCTGTGACTGATGAACACACAATGTGAGATTCAAATAATTGCACCGAGCATGTTTATTTGAATAATCGTCCCATTGCACCATCAAATATATATGCTGAGTGTGTTTGAGTGTTCTTACATGTACATGGGATCACATACTCAAATAAATGCAGCTGTGTTTATTACAACGTGTGGGGCTCCAAATATACACATACTTGTTTGTGCATCTATCCAGGCCCCTTCTGTCCTGAACGGCCCTCACACATCTTAGAGCAAAAGCGTGGTTAACAATTTTTCAGTTTAAATCCGTGTAAACTTATGCTGGAGTAATCTCCTCAAACTTGTGACTAAGATTTGCTTTCATTAAGGCTTACCTCCTTAGAAAGACAGAAAATAATCTTTTGGGGGGAGCTGTCTGATTGAGAAAAGTATCTAAGAAATGTATTCACATTTATTCAAATACAATCCCTCTTTTTCTCCTTCCTCCAAGCCCTCCCCCTCCACCCCAGTCTAATTCATGCTAAAGAAGATGTACACTTTGCTTAATTCTTGATGGGACATCCTGATACTCATCTCTCCTCCCAGTATGTCAGGCCTAGGCTCACAGTGTCATGTGGAAAAAAGAAAAGATTGCCCAAATCTTCTAGAATACAAAGGGCTTTTGGAGAAAAATGGGCAGGGATGTTTAATTGTTCCAACATTTCATCATCTTCTTGTATCCCCTATTCTAGAAAAAAAGGGGTTAGACTTTAAACCTAGAGTGTGGGGAGAGTAACTATTTGGTAAGAGAAAAGAGAAAAATACATCTGATGTTACTAAAATACATGTCTCTTGATCATGGAGGGGGATATCTTGCTTTGACCTCGGAAAGGAATCTTAAGATATGTCAAACATTTTAATTCTTCCTTAGAGTTGTAGGATTATGTAGGACTAATGCACAATAGTGATAGTGGGTAAATGGCATTTAAAAAAATCTTAGATATGGGACAGTGTAGTGATTGTCACACATTTACAAGTGTTATCCTGATATCTTCAGACTCAGGTATTCTGAGTCTGCCTACAAAATGAATTTAGAAAAAAAAAAAAATGACACAGAGGGACGACAGGAGGGAGAAGACAGCGTGTGCCCACTGTCCCAAGGGAATGTTTCCTTCTTTCCAAGGAGAAAGAAGAGGTTGCACATTCCTTGTTTATTGGTCCTATCTCTTGTGGATTGGGACACAGATGTGCCCATGGGCATCGGAGACCTACATTGCTTCAAAGGAGGCCACAGGGATTTATTCTACCCAGACAAAATTTAATGGCTTTATATTTTCAGGGTGAATTAATAAAGTTTTGCCTAGGGCCTTTAAAACTAGAAAAATCTATGTAGTGTATTTACTTGTGCCTTTCAAAGAAGGAGAAATGGTGATAGAATTTTCT